ACCTCCTCCTCCTGAGGGCATGCTGAGAGGCACCTCTCGGTTGCCTGGTTTAGATGCATTATCCCAGTGAGTGCCATTAGATGGAAGAAGGACCTTTGCAGTGTTGGCTGAGGTGTGTGGAGATGGCGGTGCTTACACAGGGTGTGATGCTGTCTGTGCTCAATAGAGTCAGAGGTAGAATAAAAACCTGGGGTCCTTGTTTCTCATGTTTCTGCCCCAATTACCACAGTACAGCTCCTTCTGCTTTCTCAAGCAGACATGAGCTCGCCCTCCTGCACCACCTGACCACCAGATCAATGCAAATGCCATGACTTCAGCACTCGCACTCACTTTATAAGCACTGGACAGCTGCTGTAATGCTTGCAACACTCATGATGTCACTGTTGGGTTTAAGCCAGTGGTCTATTTTATGATTAGAGATTTTGTTTTTCACTGGAACAACTTCAAGGCTTTTTCATCGCTAGCTCATGTTTATTCCTTGCACCAATGAAGTGCAGAATGCAGGGAGAAAATGGGTGAGTTGAAGAAACAGACCAGTCTATGGCAGAGACTGACAACAGTGCCTGTCTAACCGGTCCTCAACAAAGCTAATCTCACTAAACTCAGAAGCTTGCTGAGAATTTTTTTCTGGATATGGGAAAACACCAAATGAGAGTTTCTAAGTGTGAGGGCTGGGGCTCTCCTCCCTTTCCACAGCATGCACAAATCATGCTTCCTCCCCACCCCAGCCTCTTCTGTAGGGCTATGTGCATCCTGAGGGACAAGACGGAGCAGCTCCTAAACACAATAAACATTACTCTGTCTGGGTTAGTTTTTACATTTCTGTGTTTTATTTCTTGTTTTGTTTGAAATGATCTGTACCACAAGAATACAATTTATTTAACAGGTTTTTTCTTTTTTTTTTTTAGGAGCAGATAATAGTTAAGTAGATACTGTTTATTTCAGTGACTGTCTATAACTCCCTGCATCATTCCCACAGCCTCTGTCTCTCTGGCTTCTCCACATAACCCAGCCACAAGAACAACAGAGTGGCCTTTCACCATATGATTGATTATAGTTTGTGGATACAAAGTGGAAGTTCTTTTTCTCAGCTCCAATTGGTAATAAAAGCTCAACAAGTTACATTCCAGGGTCTTTCTCAATGACTTTCCCCTCTAATAGCTGCTTACATGTTTCTGGTGCATCATGTTTTATTTCATATATTTGTAATAGTTTTTAAAAAAAAAAGATGACTTAGCTTACAAAGAGAAAAATAATGCTCCCTTAGCATGAGCAATACTGCAAAGTTCTTATTGTTGTGGGGGAGTTTCTTATAGCTTCACAGTTTTGCTGCGAGGTGTAATGCCCAAGTTTCTCCAGAAACCTAATTCTTTTCTTTTAATTGATCCCCATGAAATTTGTTTTGCATTACAGGCCAGACACCACTGTTCCCAGAGAAGGATGTGCCCAAAACAGAAGAGCTGGTCACTTGGGAAGAACTGCCTTTTGTAGCAGCTGATGGGTACGTGGTTTCTGTCATCCCCACGTGCAAATCAGGGACTGGAGCTGCTTTTACCATAGTTGCTGAACATGGTCTTCATGCTTATTCACTGTCACTGATACACTTACCTCTACAGCTTTGCTTTTCTTTAAGTCGTAGAGCCCATTTGTGTCCCAAGGCTCAAGCTCCATCCTCTTTTGACCCATGTAGGAGGACAGCTGTATGGCACCGACTCTGTGACTCCTATATTACAAATGAATGGCATAAAGAGCACTGACCCAGCACCCATTTCCTAGTTCACGTCTCAACTTCCACATCTCCAGACCTTTTTGTAAGAGACTGTGAGCATTCAAAGCCCTAAGCAGTTGCTGAAGCCCCATTTCTTACTTCAAAGTGCACTGAGAAGACTACATTAAGATGTTACCTTTCTCTGCAAGCCCAGCTCACTGCGTAGCTGGACATGCTCCTCAGTTGTGGCAGCATGATAGTACTAATGATGCACAGCAGATCAGAATAACTGGGAAGAGATGCGTGTGATTCCTGCACTGGTCTGAAGGGCCCAAGAGACCTGGTTCCCAATATAAGACAGCACAAGCTTTTAAGGATTAAATCTAGACAGGTGTTTCTGTCCCAGTTCCTGGGGAAGAATTTGCATCCCTTGCTTAAAGAGATTAATATATGCTAATTACTGTCTGGTTCAGTTCTCATCCTATTTCAGAAGCAATGCAAACATTTCCAGGCATATTATCTTCAAGCAACGGGAGAGATCCAGATGGGCTCCAAGGTTATGCAGCTGTAATGGAGTAAGAAGGTCCTGGAAAAAAATGCATTTGGTATCTTTATATTGTTCTGCCAAGGCAGGAGTTGCCTCCATACCATAGCCCTACTCTAAATAGCCAGCAGTCTCTGTGGGCTGGAAGCTAACTCGGCAGCTCTCCATAATCATGTTTTGTAGATAGTTCTCCCTCCCTGTTCTGGAAAGCAGTCCCAAGTCCAAATACAACAGATCTGGAAGAGCCTTTTTTCTTTTAAGTGACCTTTCCAGCCAGGGCTCAACAGAGTAAGAATTGCTTCTTAGGATCTTTTCAGCCCGTTTTGGGACAGCTACCTTTGCACAGCAGATCAGGACACAATGTGCTGTGGCTGAGCTGGGTGGGACTTGGCAGGGAAGCATCAGTGATCAAGTGAGTCAAACTCAGATGCAATAGCGCAACCCAGCACATTTGTGAGAACATTTATGCCACAGCCAGAAGAAGTTGCCAGGGTGCAGCACGTGGCAAGCTGGCTCTATAGTGGTAGCGTGCATTTCGCTTTGGTCCCTCTCAGTCACAGATAGGTACAGGGATCATGAGCGCAACCAAAATCTTCTCATTTTTCTCCCCAGCTGCCTCTGGGAGGTAGCTGGGGAGAGAAGCACAAGTATCTGTTCAAAGCACAAGGCCACTGTGTAATTGCTACCGCTGCAAGCATGGAAGCAGTCCCAGCTCCAATGTGCCTTCTGTCCCTTCGGGTCTCTATTGGTTTACTAATGTGCCTGAAGCAAGACTGAATTCCTTTATCAAGTGAGTACAAGAAGAGTGAGAGTAGCTACGACTGTGTAGTGTAGGGAAAAACTCAAAGGAGATGGAAATGAACTAACTCAAGTACCAGGAACGGGCTGGCTACAAGAGCTGAGAGGTCAGCATGAGTTAGTGCCCCCAGTCTCTGAGCTTGCCTGGGCATTGCTCTGCAGCACTGACAGCCCTGCTGTGATGCATTATGCTCCACTAAAAACCAAGCACCCAGTGTCTCCCCGATCACATGCCTCTACCCTGGTTTAGAAGGCTTCCTGCTGGGGGCAAGTTACTCCTCCGCCACACCACCCTTCTCCTGGACTAGCCAGGAAGGGATGGAAACTTGAGGGGAACAGAGGCGGTAGAGCTAGTGGTATCTCAAATGTAGATCAGAAGCTTTTTCTCACCTCTCCTGCCATGCCACTGACTACAAAACAGACAATACATTCAGGTTTCATCAGCTCAGGCTGGCTCAAAACTGAGCGACCTAGAAAACAGAATCTCAGAGGATGCCAACAGCCAGTTTTGTCAGTCACCCACATTCCCCTCTGGCTACTGGGAATGCAGCAGTTGTGGCTTAGGCAGCAGATCTAAACCAGCGCTTGGAGACAGCAGGAACCTGGTGACATGAGAGGAGTAAATAAACAAACATTCCCCCACCACCTCAAGGTCAGGTATTTGCTTTCCCATCAGCAAGAGAACCTCTTACCAGGCCCAGGTATAATCTATGCTAGCTCTTTTGCTGCTGTTGAGGCTAATGGGATGAGGCAGGGGAAGACAGTAGTTGAGATATCGGGGGTCTCATGCCACCCTTTAATTGATTTCCCTGGGCTGCCACAAAAAAGCAATCTCTCAGGCGCAAGAGCTGCCTCTGCCGAAGAGCAGTGCCCTTGATTCCTAACTAGCATTTGGCAATAAGCCTAAGTCTCTGTGAAGGCAAAGAGCTATCACTTTAATGAAGTCTAGGAAAGCCCTGATTTGGGGTGTATTTATAGTTGGGCAGTAACCATGCAGACAAAGCCTTGTGTTCTCTGCCACAAGGAACAAGTGGGGAATGGCACTCAGCTGAGCTGAAGAGGCAGGTTTGATACACTATGGGGTGAAAAGTGTGGAAGAATTGTAGTTAGCACCACATAGGAGAGGATGCAGAGATCATCAAGTCAACCCAGCACTGAAGCGTAACATTGGGCTCTTTTCTCTTTTTCTTGCCATCTGGGAAAGGAGACTTGCATTCTCTCAGGGACATACATCCTACCTCTTCAGGGGCCTGCGGGGGTTGTACATGGGAGGGACTAGCCAGGCGTAATGACACACTGTACAAGGTCGCAGAATATCTTACAGTTAGGAGCGTCTTTCCCGGTAAGAAGTGGGGCCTCTATGTACAAGTGTTAGCTGTTGCTAGAGGAGCCTGGGAGGCAGCCATTTTGATCAGGAGAGGTCCAGCAGCACCCTTCTCCAAAGGAGCATCTGCTCTATGGTTAGAGCCAGAAAGGTGACAAAAAGAAGGACCCTGGCTGCTTCCCTTTCTATCTGACCCCTCACAACACCAGCAGATAAAGTTTATATTGACTCTATTCTTCCTCTCTTCCTGCTTCTGTCCCCACTCCCCCTCCAGCACTGGCGGAGGGAGCTGGGGAGCAGGCGGCCCGGACAGCGCTGAGAGCATCACTGCTCAGAGGGGCTGAGCCCTGATGACCGCCTCAAGAAGTGCAAGAGTATATTCTGGTATTTCCCACAGAGAAAACAAATGAAAAAAAGAGAAACAGGTGACTGATTAAAAGAGTTTCCCCCCTCCTGTACACGAGATTCTGCAGTCACGCCGACAGATAGACATTAAATAATTCTTCCATAATAAATGATTGGAGATAAAAGCCGGCGGTGGCTGCTGCTGCTGTTTGGATTGCTCCGTTGTCTGCATCTTTGTTTCTAGTTTGTTCCCCGGCCACTGTGGGCTGGCACTGGGGCTGTCAGACCTTTGCCTCTAGCATTTCTAGGAAGAGTTTATGCATGGGAACCTTGCCCTGCAGTTTGATGCTGTAGAAGTGCTGCACAGCTTTGGCAGCCGTCTGCCGCAGGAGGGGCAAGGTCAGGAGCAGCTTGCCTGCTCGCCGGGGCTCCTCATTGCGCTGACTCAGCTCGTAGTCCTGCAGGGCTTCGTGAAGAAGGTCCTGGAGTTTCTGCACTGCATCCATGTCCTCTATGTGCATGGAGTCTGGGGGGAGGGAGAAAAGACAGCAAACAGACAAGTCAGACATGGGGAAGGAAATAGTTTATGGTCCTGAAGCTAAAGAAGCTCTCTTTCCTTTCCGTTTCTTCCTTTTCTTTTCTTTTTTTTTTTTTTTTTTGTTGCAGGGGTTGGGTGATGTTGTTATTTTGTTTTGTTACTTAAGGGGAAAAAAACCACCTTGCTGGCAGGTGTTGGTGCTGCTGCTGCTGTGAAGTTCAGCATCAGCCCTACGAGTTGGCCCTAGCACTGCAGGGACAGTAAGTTTGCCAGGGGTAGGCGACACATTGTGCCCTGTGTGCCACCCATTTTGCCAGCCACCCCAAGGCTGTGCAGGGGTCAGACAGGAGCCTTTGTGACTTGCACATTCACTTGCCCTCCATGCTCCTTACCGGGAGAGTCACCCTGCAAGGGGCAGCAGCTGCCGTGCTGCCCCTTGGGAGCAATCTCATTAAGAATAATTAACACTGCTATAGCGCTTCATCTGTCTAAACTGCCTAATTGCCATGCAGCTGCTCAGGGTGTCAGCAAGACAGAAAAGCCCCAGTAGGTCACAACCAGTGTGCCCAGGGGTGTTGCCAGCCCCACCTTTGTGCATATGCCCCTGTTTTCAGAGACTGCCAGCAGCTGCTCAGGGAGCTTCCTGCTTCAGTAAAGGAAACCTGCACCTCCCGCAAGGCCTCTTCCCTTAGGCTGCCAGTTAGATTTCTACAAGCTGCCAGAGGGGCTAGCAGGGTTTGCGAGGCTAGCACAGCTCCTTGGTTTGTCTCTGAGGCAAAGGTATCTGGCAGTGACCCAGTCCAGGGTCACGCTGGAGAACCCGAGTTGAACACAAAGCTGCTAAACTTGTGGGTAAGTCATGGTCACAGAGGGCAGCACCGCAGAGCGGAGAGGTTCGATTAGTGAAGCTAACCAGGCACAGCATCACTGAAGTTTTTTTCCTTTTCATCTTGCTGATACCTGCTTCTTTCTTACAACCCTGACAGAGCTGGAGACACTGCTCCCTTGTCTTCATTGTTCAGAGACTTTTAATCGATACTGAACCATTGATGAAGATTCCTGCCACAGGGCAATGAATCCAGAAGCAGCAGCAAAGGGACACTACAGCAAGCACACACACACACGTGTAGTTGCACCGTCTGCCGCTGCAGCTGGGCTTTGCGGTGTGGCAGTGCTCTGGCTCTGCCCACACACATACAACACAAACGTGAGGACATGGGTTCCTCAGTGTGACAGCACCGAAGGGGACGAAAGCTGGCTGGAGTGCCAAAATCTCTCTAGAAATATGTGTCATCTCTACGGAGAGCGCAAAAGAAATTAGAGACTGTGAATTTCGTAGGATTCATGTACAGTAAATGCTATTTATGATGCATGATTTATAAAGTATTACAACAGTTGGGAAAATATCATGTCTAGCAAGAAGGCTGTTTAAGAAGATGTTTAGAAGGAATGCACTAATTAGAGGATATTAAAGGGTTGTATTTCCAAGAAGCCTACTGAGGAAGGATTGTTCTTGCTGCATTTGCTTTTTGTATCCAAGAGACCAGGCAAAGAAACTCAGAAAAGGGCTGGTAGGTCATCACAGTGACCTGAGCTAGCCACAAAGGTTGATTCTGAAAAGTAGGGAGGGAGAAGCATGTTGCCAAGTCAGTCTGGCAACTTCTCCCAGCCAGGTAGCACCTCTGGAAAATTTCCATGCACCATCCAGGAGAAGTGAGTGGGATCTGTTTCCTGCCAAGTTGCAGAGGTCATTTTTGAAGACTAGAAGCATCAAGAGCTGGAGCTTGGAAAGAAATGTCCTCCAGCCTTTCTGTTTAACGTCCTTCTGGCTAGGGGCACAAGGGGGAGAAGTAATCACAGCCCATCAGAGTTTGCAGATCCCAGCTGGTGTTAGAAGCATCAGGCAATGAGCCATGCTTCAGGTCAAAGTGGGTGCTCTGGTTTTGGGTACTGATGCTGCTGTATGGTAGACAGAATTCCAAAGCTGTGCCCTTCTGCCACCTGACTTCTGTAAGGTGATGAGACTTAACAGCACTAAATAACTAGACGTATACAGGGAGAGGAATTGGGGAAATAAAGATCAAAGCCTGCCCCACCCCCCCACATTCTTTGCTGAAAGAAGCTCAAAACTGGCAGCTGACTGTGAAAAATAAAATAACATTGCAGGATTAATTTCCTTGCAATCCATCAGTGAGCTGGTGTCGATGGCATTGATAAACTGTTAATTACAAAATCAATAGCTATGAATTTTTACAGCTGTCAGAGCACTGAGGTGGAGGGCGGCTGCCTGACCAATGTCCCTGAGGGTCAGCTGGCCTAGAAGTCAGGCTTCGTGTCGGGACCCCTTCTCCAGCACAGCTAGCAGGGGGTACAGGGCAGGTTTGAGAATGGACAAGGCCCACTGCCTCCTCACCTAACTCTTTTCTTGCAGCTTCTGGCAGGAGCAGGAGGAGCAGGGACCTCACAGGACCCATTAGCACAGAATTTTCTGCACATCCCCTTGCTAGATCCAGACCTTGTTCACTCCATCTCAGCACTAAAATGCTTTGGGGAGAAAAAAGGGGAAATAAGGTTAGGCCAGTCTGGGATGTCTGTAACTGAATGTGTGCTGTATGCTAACCTGGAGGGCTCTTCAACACACAAGCTGATCAATTTGTATTCCTGAGGAAAGAGGACCTAGGAATGTCTAAGAAGGGACGGCTGGCTCTGAAGGGTAACAAGTTAAGTCTGCAGCACCCCTACTCTGTCAAAAGTGGGTGATCATATTGTTGGGACTTGCCTGCTGCTCTGAGCATTAAGAATCCATTTCTCAGCTCTCTCAAATGCACTTACTAAAGACAGAGTTCGTTTGAATTATCTTTCCCAGTCCCAGCAGGTGTGTCCTTGGTGCGTTACACTGAGGACTCAGAGATCAGCCACAGCTCTGGCAAGGTCGACCTATTGTCAGCTTCTCCTCTAGTGAAGAGTGAGCTCCCACTTCTGTTTCCATGTGTTTTAATTCCTAGAAACAAAGGGTCAATATACACAGGGCTGCATGGAAGAGAGGAAAGTCCCTAGAAGCTGGGCTGCATGAGCAATTACACCCAGCCGGGACAGGGGAAATTCAGGAATTTATCTATATGGGAGGCAAGGCAGAAAGCAGGTCTAGGCAGCACAGGTGCTAATCTAAGTGCTCAGCTTTAAAACCTGTCTCTGGCCCAAGGGAGCTGAGGCCTGGGTTGGAGGTAGTCTGTGTTCCTACCATTTTAGGAATCAACTGTTGGCACGCAAGCACATACATGCAGGCTCTGCAGGTTTACTCCATGTCAAAAATACACTAAGAAAAATAACTTATATTAAAAGAATGTGAAGGTTATATTAGAAAAAATACACTTGCCCTATTCTAGCTTCCTTATGTGTGTGTTGTGAGAGGCATTAATTACATGAAAAATGAGATCTCATGCTTTACTTTTGTATGTTTCAATACGAATAACAAAGCGGGATTTTTGTGGATTATGCTCCTTCATAGCTGCACTTCTAGCTGTACTAGGAGAAACCAGTGAAGTCAGAATGGCTTTTCCCATCCAGCTGAGCACATGCTTTGGCCTGTGCCTCCTGACCCTTACCTTGGTTTCTTTGCTCTACAGTGCTGGAAGCAGAACCCCAAAGCAGCTGATGAGCGTTGGTTGTTCTGCTCTGTCTTTGCTCCATGTTTCTCCACTCCTGATTCAGACTTTCCCATAAGGGACTACCCCGAGCTTAGTCCTGACAGCACAGTGAGCAACATGAGCAGTGAGTGCTTCTGTTGCACCGTGAGGAACCTGACAGCACCAAGGCTCATGTCCTGCAGTGCCTCTGCTCATGGCATGGGCCAGATAAATGTGCTGGTGTGGCGCTTATCCTGTCGCCCTGTCACAACCACTGTCTTAGCACCTCAGCCTCTCTGAGGAGCCCTTCTCCCTGTTTAATCCTGTGACCTTCCTGGTAGACAGGAGGCAGGTTCTTTAACAAGAGTTGATTACATCGCCAAAAGCCACCATCCCACAGTCGAAAGAGGCCAGCCTTGGCCATCTGCCCATCCTGGTTCAGTGGCAAAGTGAAGGCAGCAATTAGAGCTAAAAAAGCCATATATGAGAAATTGAGAAAGGGAACTAGATAGCAATTTATATGAATCAGAAGTTATGAAGAGTAGAAAATCGATAAGGGAAGTGAAGGACATTGGAGGAAAATCCATGGCTGGAAGGGCTAAGGACAATAAAGAAGTTTTATAAATACTTAAAAAATAGAAGAAAAATGACCATTTGTAGGGGGGCTCTTTTCACCTGGATATGATTGAACTATTAATAGCAGTGCAGAGGAGATAGAAGTCCTCAGTGAGTATTTCTGTCCTGTTTAGAAAAAAGGAGCATTATGTACCTGTGTTATATGAAGATGGTGAAGACTTAGTTTGTTGTTATGCAAGAAGATGTTAGACATCTGTAAGGGACAACGTTTACAGAAATCAGCAGAGCTGGATAACTCAGCTTTAAGAGTTCTAAAATTGCTGGCTGAGGCCCATCTGGAGCAGATTAATGATTAACAAGCCTTAGTAGTTTTGAGAAATTCAAGATGACTGGAAAAGTTCTAATGATGCACATATTTTCCTAGGTCTTATCTGATAATTTCCATTGCCAGCCTGATGTGAATCAGGGCAAAATAAAGGGGAAAAAAAAAAGTGACATTCAATTAAGACTTATAAGATGGTATTACAACTACTGCCAGTCAACACGATACTTTGGAACAGAGGTCTTGTCAAACAAACCTGATTTCACTCTCTGATGAGATTACAAGTTTAGTTGATAAAGTTAACTGCATAGACATATAATAGACTTAGGCTTTTATAAGGCACTTGGCTTAGCACCACAGGACATTCTCATTAAAAAATTAGCACTATGCAATATCAATAAAGCACACTTTCAATTGATTAGTAACTGGCTAGATGACAGATCTCAAAGTAGCTATCAGTGGTGAATCATCCCTGAAGGAGGAGTTTTCTAGTGGAAATCCACAGGGATCAGTAAAAAACAGATGCTACTCAAAATTTTTATCAATGAGCTGTAAGTAATTTTTCTTTTTTCTTTTAAATTGCTGCTGCTAAGAAGTATGGATGGCAAATAGGAACAGAATGGCGTAAAATGGTGAGGATAGGGTAGCCTCACAGCATTCTGGACCACTTGCTTACACTTGAAGTAATATATCGATAGCCAAGGAATGCAGCTATGGAGCAGACCTTTATCATGTCAAGCTGTCAGGTGTAAAAAGACCTGGGGTCATAGGACACAGTCAAAGACCAGTATCTGGAGTCTGAACTCAAGCAAACTGATGTTAAAGATATGGTGCCCTTTTTTTTTTTTTTTTTTTAAACTGAGAGAATGATTAATTATTAGAGTCAGCTACCACAAAAGATGTAAATTCCCCCTCTTTTCATCCCTTCAGCTTCACACTGCGTGTCTTTCTGGAACGTGGAAGGTGGCTTTAGCCAAACACAGATATTGGACTCACTGCTGGGCTGCAAGGGTGAATTCTGTGACCTGCATGATGCAGTTCAGCAAGGAGATCTGATGTGAGACAATGAGACTCAAGGGATGTAGAGGGAGCCCTCGTCACACAGTAGCTTTAGCAGTTTCCCTTTCGGAAGGGACTTGTGAGCAAATACATGTCTGGCTTTTGTGCAACATCAGTGCAGCACACAGTACCTCTTGTGTCTCCCACAGCCTGCTTCGTTGAGGGCTGCAGCCCTCCACAGACTGAGATGGAAGGCACTGGGCTGAGGGCCCTGGCCTTTCTCATCCTCTTCACATGAAGAAACAGAACAGGCAACATCAGGCTTCCGTGAGCATATCTTACTCTCTACCATCCAGATCCACACTCCCAGGTAAAGGGGGATTCAGTGTCTGTGGTCACTGAACATCTGCAGGACAGGACCAGGCAGCCCCAATCCCACAGCTTTTTGTGGGATTTGAAATTGGGACCAGGGTTTCCCTGTTTGCTGTAACTGGCCAACACTACTGAGGTGGATGCAGGTGTGGCCAACATCCCCTTTTCTGAACTCAGGGCACTGGAATCAGCTTGCTAGTGGAGAAGGGCTCTGCAGCCTTTCTTCTACTGTCAGAAACCATCAGCCAGACCACCCCTGCCTGGCTCCACTCCCTAATACGGGGCCAGGGCACAGCTGGGGCTCTAGCAGCAGCAAGCCCCATTTCTCCCTGCTCTCCAGCTTCGGTCCTGCTCTGTGGACAGAGGGGAGCTCTGAGGATGTTGCATGACACAGGCAGAGCACTGGCTCGGGCAGTAGGCTCTAGCTTCCTGCCAGGCCAGATAACAGCATGGGCCTTGACCTCCTGAGATTGTGAGGCTGGCTGGGCCAGGGCTGTACCTGAGTTGGCGAGGGCCAGAGCTTTGAGTGTGACAAACTCCTCCTTTTCCACCTTGAGCTTCTTGTAGCGGCGCACCAGTTGTAGGATGGCCAGGTAGAGCTCCAGCAGCCCTGTCAGACGAGAGTGCTCTTCATCCATGATGTAGTCCTCAGCATAGACAAGCTTGTCCTCATATGGCAGGGAGCGGTACACAATGCCCAGGATGAGGATTTCCATCCAGGCGCTCTGCAGGAGGCTCATCTGGTCCCCAAGTGAGAGGTTGGAGAACCCTGACAGGGCAAAAGAAAAGTAGGGTCAAATGGGTGTGCAGCAAAGCCTCTAGGAGCCTGGGGTCCTTACTTTCCCTGGGATTCACTGCAAGCACTCTCCCCCACTGGCCTGCTGCTTTTTAAAAAAAAAAAAAAGCTTACAAAAGTGACCCCATCTCTGTGGCAATCAGCACACATGGACCTTACCCTTCGCTTTGCTCCCGTGCTCACCCACAGCCTCAAACAGGAGTCCTGATGCTCTGACTGCATTTATGGCAACCCAAGGTTAACAATAATCTCTTTTCAATGATCTCTGCTTCTTCTATAGCAGCAACTGTTTTGTACCACATTGTCCTGCTCACTGTTCCTCTGTAGTTTTGTACTGCAGCCTATTTAGTCTGCCCCAGCTGACCGAAAAGCAAAGAGCTCCAGATGGTGGAAAAGAGGGCTTCTGATGGCATAGGAGGGAATGACACAGGCCTGAATTACAAGCATACCACAATCTCTTGTTCTGGTCAACATGAGAAAAAGTCCTGCCACAACAGAGCACTTAAATGTGTTCAAAAGGTGAATACATTTGTGAACAGAATCCTCTTCTATTCCTCATCATTCCCTGAGCTCCACACCATCAGCTTTCTTCACATCACAGCCAAGAACTACGCAGTGTCAAAAACACCTTTATGGTGCCATACAAGTACCTAAATCACAGCCAAACCCAGTAGTAATGGAACCAGCACCCAGCAGTGAACCAAGTCATTCTCCTCATATACAGAAAAAGCAATCACCATCTGGAGATAGACACCCCTGACAGCCCCAGAGCCCACTTGAGAAAGCAGAGAGGCTGAAACACAGAGGCACTGTCTTCCCCAAGGGATAAAAATGGGAAGAAAAGCTGCATCTGTTATGTCCTCTGTACCAGGTACCCTTGAAGGCCATGAAAGATCCTGGGAGACAGGCACTGGGCAACAGCCATTACAGACAGGGATGCCAAGCACAGTGTTAGTCCCATCTAGGCAGCTCCTGCCCACCACCGACAGGTGGGGACTGTGCTTTTTTGGCAGCTCCTTGTGTCTAAAGGTTCCTAGGGCTGTGAGAGAATGGGACACCCAGGCAACCTCAGCTGGGGGAGAAATGGTCCACCAGCGTCCCCTGCCTAGTTTTGTCCCCAAACGCTTATTAAGCCTCAGGGCTCACCAAGAGGCCTGCGAGCTCATTAGTCCCCGTCCCGGAGCCTCCCAGTCCCGCTGGCTGTGTGCTAGGCTCAGCAGGACTCCTTTATCCCACAGCCCTCCCTGCTCACAGTTCTTGGCCCCGCACTGGGGCCAAGGTAGCCAGCCACCATGATGATCATTTGATTTCTCTTGTTATCAAGTTGGCAATTAACAAAAGAGCTGATGATTGCTATATTGACTGACTGTGGGTTCTCTTTTTCTATCTGCACTATCTCAGCTGGGGAAGGGAAGGCAGAAGGGTGGGTTAGTGGTATTTATTTATCACTACGCCATGTTTTGTGTTTGTGTTGCCAGGGGAAGCAAAGGGTGATAATGGCCTGGCAGCCCTTGGACATCCAATTTCCCTTATCAGGCCACTGAATAGAAAAGAGGCCCCAGGCCACATTAATTAACAGATACCAATCAGCTGTCACGTGTTGTGTGTGCAAGGTCTGAGGGGAGCAGTGGGTGGGAGGGAAGAATCAATAAACCATTGGGGAGGAGTGCCAGAGGGAAGAGCTAAAGAGGAGTCCAGGCTACTGGAGAGCTGCAAATCCAGCTCCATGACTGTGAGATTGATTCCCGTACAGCACAGCCTGTGCTCCTCATAGCTCTGCACCTGGTAAATCCCACCCTTTGCTCAGGCTGTGAGTACTTCTGGGGTGCCTCATCCTTTGCCTCACCCTTCAGCCCCTTATCTCCTGCAGTCAGTACTGTGCTGCTCCTGAATGCAGCCCTCCTGACTGAGTCCAAGTGCAGGCTGATGTAGCTCGAAGGCTTGGGATCTTGTCTCCCCAGGTCTCCTGCTTGCTGCACTGGGGACTGATGAGATTAGCCCTGAGACAGGGGTAATGGTGCAGTGCACAGACACTGTCTCAGTCTCTAGCACCTGGAATCTCTCCTTTGGTCACCCCTCTCCTAGCTCTGACCATGGAGAACAGCCCAGCATTTAGGCTGCTGCCTTAAGTCCAGTTTCTGGGTCAGTCATGTTGCTTTTTTGCATCTTCATTCCCCACCTGGATTACAAAAGGGCTTATGCCTCACTCCTGTCTGCCAAAGAAATTTGTTAAAGATTGAGAAACAGTCATGTAGTAGAGTGAGAGGACTCAGGACAGACATGGCTGACACTTTTCTGCTGGAGAATAAAGTAGAAAAACTGACTTAACCCTAGCAGTAGCCCGTACATCAAGCATCTCTGTTAATCACTCTTTCACAGAGGCAGTTATGGCAGGTGGGAATTGCACAGGAGAGACCATGCTTTACCCTCTGCCAAGGAGAATAGAAGAGCCAGCTGCAATTGCCCTACCCACCTGGGAAAGCCCCCTGCCAGAAGCACTCCAAGGTAGCCAACAACTCCAGTTCTGGCAGGCGGGCATGAGGGAGGGAGTGCTGCAGTGCCAAGCCTGGACTTGAAACATCTGACAGAATTGGGACCCTTTTCCTCCAGTGTTTACACATGTAGAATGCAAGGGCTGGAGGACTGTGCCTGTATCATTGCATTCTGCACAGGCAAGGGAAGATCATATAACCTGGGGTCTCCCATGCTATAAAACTTGAGATCAGGAAAGGTAAATGTTAATTTCACCTGGCCAAAATCACTGGCTTGCTATTATGGGTTTATAACACTGGTGAACCTCTAATTGTGAAATTCAACTGCCTCGCCATCTTACAGCTCCCAGGAACTGCTAGAATCCAGCCCTTTGGCATTCTTGCACTGTTTGGTGGTACAGCATCCAGAAAGTGCCCTTAGTGATCTGTGTCTTGCTGCTTTTCTCGGGTCTTATCCTGAAGGGTGCTGAATGCTCCACTACCATCCCTAGGCTCCCAAAAGAGGAGCCTCTGTCTCTAGCACAGAGCTGCATGCATGTTTCCCTCCTACCCAGGTGCAGGTTGAGAAAAGCTGCTTTATTTGCAATAGCTGATGTGACATTCAGGTTTTTTATTTTTTGTGATTTTTTTTTTATTTCAGTGGTTTGGCAGTGGGAGCTCCCAGAATTAAAAAAAAGAAGTCACATAATTTGTGGCAAGTGGAGTTCATAATCTGTTAATTTATTATCATTTCTGTCATCCTGGAGGGCCATTAGCAGAGGTAATAAAGGGAGATGTAATTATAGGATCTGAGGCCACTCCAGACACAGCTGCTGTCACTCCACTTGCCATATTTCATTCTGTGCTAGTACTATCGTCTTCCTAGTGAGAACAGCACAACAGCTACCTTGGGAGAGCCTTCGTCATAACCCCTTGAGAGAAGTCTTGTCTCCCTGCATCAAGGCATGCAGAAAAGGTAGATGTTGTTCAATTAGCACGGGGGGGTGTGAGTACTGGGGAGGGGGCTTCATACAGAAGGCAACAACTCTACAATGGCTAAGTGTGGCTTTTGAGCTAATGGCTAATAAGGCTATTGAGCTAATAACATTTGCTAAACACCATTAAATCATACTTTCTTTTTATCATAGGAGAGTGTCTTTAAGCTTAAGTGGTTTTATTTGCTAACACTGTCGGGTAGAAGTTTATGCCGACACCTGGGATCCTGAAGGATTGATACAACTTTAACGTCACACAGTTCTTTACCAATTCCAGTGTGAACACAAGGCAGAAATATATTCCTTTTGTTCCTTTCTCCAGCTCTCTGTCCAAGAGTTCATGCACAGAGGAAACAATGTCCTGTTTTGCTCAAAATCCTTGGAAGGCAGAAACACAGGGCATGGATAATCTAGACACCTGGCAGCCTCCTGGCCCTGCCCTGCTCTGCCCCCTTGCTGCCTAACTCAGTATGTTTCATACTTGTTTCTGAACTATAGGGTATTTTGTTCCATTTTTATGAACTATCTTTTATTATGTTTGTTTCTCAGTACTTCTTCCTTGTGTAACAATCTCTGAGCTCTCTCCTGTACACAGAGTCCTGTTATAATACTGCTGCTGGTCTGAACTGTGCCAGGCTGATGGCTGTTACCATGTAGCAGGGCCTTTGATAGGAAAGAAAAATGCACAGAGAAAATTGAGATGATGGCAGGTGTGTCCTGCCTGTTGGAAACGAGAGGAGAAGCCCCTTTCACAGTGCAGGAGTAATCTCTACTATACTCCTGTTCTGGGATAATATCACCATGGCAGGCTGGAAAACTCTGTAGGAACTTGGAGCTGAGCATCCCAGGCTCATCCCACAGCTGCAAGCTAAGGAACTACAGCAGGGCACCCTGCACGAACAGAAATAGCCAAGGTTAAAAGAACATACAACAGCACCTCACTGGGCAGCTGTAGGAGCTAATTGCATTGCATTAAAACCATTCCTTTAAACACCCCAAGTAGTGGGTTAGTAGAGCAATCCAGGCTGAGTTCCCTAATCGCTGCTGTAACCCCACTTGTGATGAATCAGCCCCAGATGGATTCCAGCACTAGTGATGCGTGTAATCCCTGCAGGTACTGCAGATCTCGTGTAAGAAGGGCACCACTCAAATTAACCTCTGCTGAGAAACACTGTCCTGAAAAAGTTTCTCCAGACTCTACAGTCCTACCACATAACAGTCCATATTCTATATGGCCCAGGAAACCACTAACTCTTGAGTCATAGGAGAAATACTCCCTCTGGAAAAAGAGAAGCAGCCACCAAAAAGCCAAAAGAGGAGCTACAAAGAGAAGCAAAATACAAGGGAGAATTAAATGGTCTGATCACTCATGCTAAGATGCCTCACCAAACAAGGAAGATTAAAGCCAAGAAGCAAAGCAAGAGAACACAGACCCATGCAGTGGAAGACACAGACAATGTGCAATATGAGTTAAATCCTGTGATCCTGTGGCTGAGCCTCAGATATTCTCCTGACACAAGGAAGGGGGACAGAAGGCAGGAGATAGCTGTAGTGAGCTGTTCATAGTGAGCATCTGAAGCAGTCTTTGGAAAGCAGCCACGTAAACACCAAGGACATCCCCTAAGTTCCCTGGCCAACCTTCTCTACAGCCTGTCTTTTTTGGGGGGGTGTGGGGAACTGAGAGAGAGGGCATTTTCCATTCCCAGTCCAAATTGTTGTCCCTAGAACCCTCTTTGAGGGCCATGTCTGCTCCTTCAGCCTGGGTCCATCCTACCTGCAGGTGTGAGACACTTGCTTTGTGACTCAATCACACAGGCACCCTCATTGCCAATAAGGTGTCCTCATTATTTGTCAGCGTAGAAGCCTGGAGATTCACTGACAGCAGTGAGTATGTCCTACATCCCAATGGGACTTGTTCTGTGATGAATCCAGTATGACAAAACTTTCCTGACTCTGGGCAAGAATGCCCACTACAGACAGGGTGGGTACCTGCCTTGTCATTAGCAGTAAAGTCCAATCACTGCCATAACATTTATTCATCTGTACACACAACAGACCTAGGTCATGTTGATGCAGTGCAAAATAACTAAAGTCCACTGTACCATCCCAAGGGCTGTTTCCCAAGCGCTGTTGCTGTGCCACTTAATGCAACTGAGAACTTTATCATATCATCTCGAAGCCTTCTGCATAATCCCAGGGCACACACACATACAGTCATCAATTTATGCACCTTCACCACAGGCTATATTGGAGTTTGTTACCAGTGAGAACCCACCACAAGCGGTTTTCTGTGACAGTGATTTCCACCCATCACTATATGTAAAAATCCTGGTTGAAGGCAAAACTGATTAGCACAGTGATAAATAATAGCTCCCTTTGCTGTTCATGCTTACATCCTTGTAATTTCTCCTGTTTACCTGGGATGTGCTTTGCCCAGCCAATGATCACCACCAGTTCCCTGTCTGCCAGGTCACAGAGGGTTGTCAGGGCTTTGATGTCACTCTCTGGCATGGTTGGATCAGGCATGGCATAAATCTTCTCTGGCTCAGCCACCAGCAAGTGGGAGACGATCTTAGTCACTGCACATTTCAAAGGAGAAGTTGTTGTTGTTGTATCTCTCATGACATATAACAGTAAAGAGTCATAACAGCCCTTCCTAGAAGGACCTTCCTGGGATAAGACATGACTATAGAGGCCATAGGACCTCAGAAATGGTTTTGGTCACAACAAAAGACTACACTGCGGCTACACAAGCTGTAGTGATCTGCCTATGCCAAACCAGCTCTGTACAGGGATGACAAAAGCAGGAAGCTACTGTAAGGTTGTTAGCCATTGTCTCAGGTAGGTCCAACAAGGGGAGGAGGAGGCATGAATAATCAGTTGGTGGGATGTAGAAAAATTTAGAGAACTACAGTGAGTATGGAAGAGAGAAATCAGCATGGGACGAGTTTTCTTAACACAGCTTAGATACAGGAAAAGATCAGAATATCACTAAATTTATTTACATAACCTCCTAAATACCAGGTTCAATACCTGGTATTTAACCCTAGGTACAATGAATACAGCACCTGAGCTGTACCTTAGGCATACCTAATCTACCTCTGCACTATGATCATAAGAAAAATATCCTAGCACTGGTGACTGATACAGGAATCAGAAGTGACAACTGCTCCATTGTATGTTTCGGGAGACCAGTAAAAAGAAACATAGTGGTTGCTCAGGGGACCACATTCCAGACCAATACGTACGTGGCTTTTTAGCTGGGGGAGGGATCTGTAGGCTCAGGTAGGTGCTACTCTCAGAATCCAGTCTCCTCTTGTATTTCTGACGGCCTCCACGGACTCGATCTAGACGAACACCTGCAGGTAAAACAAGATAAATCCTCATGATTCCTTAGTGCCACAGGGAACCTTGGCATGCAGATGCTAAAATTTGCTAAGTAAGACATTCCTCACACTCCAGGGAGCTTCCCTCTCCCAAACACTTGAGATCTCAGCTGAACCCAGCAATCCCAATAATACCAGCTAGACTGCCTCCAGCTCTAACCATGCTGCTGTGAGCTTTACTTTTATTCAAAACATTAATGAAGACAGAAGTTAACCCATTCAAACTCTTGAATCACAATCAATCTGATAGGCAAATAAAAAGCCTCAGACCTCAATGCCCTCTAGATGATCTTGCCTTGAAAAAGAAAGGCTTTAAATGTCAATCAAACCTGCAGTTATAAAAATAAGCTTTTAGATTGTTCTTAAAAATGAGAAGTTAAATGTTCTGTGACCTCTCACTGTTATATTTGAAAAAAGTGACCTATAGCAAATAAATTATGAACTACGAATTCAACAAAGATGTTTCAGCCTTGATCAAGTAAGGCAACTGTAATAAAAGTAGAACCCAAATAAATAGAAACAACCTCTACTACAATAAAGCAATGATACAGCTGAAGTAGGGAGACACTGAAGAATTTGTTGCAGCTCTCTCAAAATACAGTGAACCAAACTGCAAATAGCACACTGAAAACAGTTCCCAGTGACTGGGAAACACCAGTGACTGTCACCATGCAAAAAACCATAGCAGCATCAATAGACCAGGAACAGCAGCTGAACTGCTGTATCAGTACAAAATACGATGTTAAAAACAAATCATGAAAAAAGCCATACATATTTGTCCAATTGTCAGTTATTTCTGGCCAGTGATACGGTCTCTGGTAATCAGTTCTTGTGAAATTGGGGTAATTCAGTCTTGCTGGGAGAAACAGCTATTGCAAAAAAAAAAAAAAAAACTTTCAAGGTAAATACAGGAGCTTTCAAATAGAATAAAAAGCTGACTTTACACTATACAAGTAGTCCCTTAGAAACACACATGAGTTTATCTAGTCTGATCACAGGACCAATTATATGATACACTTACTAATCACATTGAGCCACTAATATTTTGCAATCAATCCACTGCATAAACACAAACAACTAAAAGCAAACACTCCAAATCAGTTTTTAAGTGATGCTTGTTGAACAACTTATACACCTGAAAAAAACTGCAGCCTGCTGACAGATACTCTACCCTAGAAAGAGGCACACCTCTGTCATTTACACTGTGCATTTCAATGCCACATTTGCTTACTATGTCACGGAAAAGAGAAAGCTTTTACTGTAATGTCCACACCAGTCCCACTTGCACCACATGAAACCATTACATGCCACAACATCTACATCCCAATACTCTTCACGGCTGGGGCACCCAAACCAGCTTGACTGACAGACAGTACCAGCAGCCCCCCAACAGCAAGAATAACCAACACCAACCAGGCCAACAGCGCTCAGTTATACATCTGACAGCGAAATCTCTCTGGCAGTAGCAACACCCACATGGAGGTCTAGGTGGCATTACCTGTAAGCCATGGTGTGTGGGGACAGATGCTCATAGGCATGATATTAATTAATGCTATATAGCTGCTTCCTTTTAAGAGTCCTGCTGCTCCCATTGAGAAGGAAGTAGCAGCCCTGGCGCTCTCCAGAGCAAAGGAACTGCTGCTGCAAGTGGCTGCTATGGGAGGATGGCAGACTTTGGAAGATGGAGAGAAAGACATGAAGCCAAATAGGTGAACTCGGATCAAACTATGTAGTTTCCTTCCCCTGCCCCATTTTCTATTTCTGACTCTGTGTGGAGAACTCACTGACATCCCAAAGCATAAGTACCACCTTTCTCCTCCGTTACATGGTAGTGTTTCTGAAAATGTTGCCCATTGCTTCTTTTACCGCCATTCCCAGCAGCAGGTAGCCTGTGGGCAAGACTCCTTCCTGGGAGCCCCAACACATTCCAGAGAGTGGTTTCAGAAAGGGCAGCCAGGGAATCCCAAACCTGAGATTATTTAGGGAGATCCCTGAGGAACAGCAATAATAAAGTTCTGGATGAAGCAGGAAACTTTCATTTCTGTCCATGATTTCTTTCCCTCTATAAATGTGCCCTGGTTTCCTAAGAAAGATGACCTCTATTCCATGCTCTGCTGAATGAATGACACCTACCTACAAGCCAGGAGAGGAAGGAGAGGCATAAATTTCAGGAACTGAAACCAAGTAACCAGGTGTGAAAATTAAAAGGGTCAAGAATATGCTGTTCAAAGATTATGGAGGAATCCAGAACAGGCTGCAGGACTTCAGGGCTGAATCACAGCTCCCCAGGACCTTGCAAAAGAAGGGTCACAGGGGGGTCCATTCCCTCATGCCAGTGGGCAGGATGTCCTTGGTGCAGGGAGACACCATTCTCAGCCCAGGAGAAACCAACACACAGCCCTCCGGGATGCTTTTGCCATGCAGTTTGATAAGCAGCGGGGAGGGGGGACTGGGAGGGGTAGGGAGGAAGTGAGGGAAGGAGCTCATTTCCTTTTCCCAAGGAGAAGCATGCCATCCTCCAGTGCTTGGCAGAGGGATGGCTGCACAGGTTGCAGCAGTATTAGGGACCTTCAATCAGATTATAAGGACACAAAGGACTTAAGTGCATTAAAAAAAGATAAGAGAGATACAGAGAGATTTACCCTCCATCCCTCCTTCACTCACGGAGCAGACAGAGGTCTGTTTGCCCAAGGACTTTGGCTTGTTAATTTTGTACAAGTGTTTGTCCTCCTCTTGTTCCCCATCCTGTGTGACACTCCTTGAGGCAAACGTTTTCAATCAGCATTTGCAGAGCCACTATTCTACCCTGTCATCATCGCTCCAGCCGCAGAGCTGGTGAATAGGCTGACCCCTATGTAGCGCATCCCAGCACCAGTTGCTGAGTGCAGTGGCCTGCAGATGCTACAGCAAACAAAAGCATTTCAACCCCTGAGACCCTGACTGTGACACTCCAGACATAAGCAGCATGACAAAATCCCTTCTCCAAAGACCTGATGGCCTAAGGGGTCATATCTAGATGGAAGGAAAGGGTATGGCCAAAAATCAGGACCTGGTACTGAGCTGTGGTATTCAGGTGGCTTGTTAATGCTTGCTTTTCTACTTTGATTTCCTTGGTGGCTGATTTTAAGATAGGCAGGCTGGTTACAATGCAGCTCTGAGAGGGACACTAAAGGACATTAAAATGGAGTGGTGAGGTGCAGTGGGTGAGCTTAGAGAAGCAGCGTGAAGGAAAGCACTGAGCAGAGAAGAAATGGAGGGGGATATAAACTGAGATGTGAATGCAAGTGAGGGTGTGTAAGGAGAAGGGAGATGACAGAGGGAGAGGGAGCAAGGCTGAGTGGTACATACAGTGTAATCCCGAGGGTGGATTTCACACCAAACGTGCAGCCAGCTGAGCTTTAACTGCAAGGTGCAGTGGCCCCTTATGAGATGCAGCTGGTCCATACTGAAGACTCTTACAAAGGATTTGGTGCCACAGCCTGACAACAAGACAGCAGCAAGAGAAAGCTGTTGCTTTCCAGCTCCTGCACAAACCCATTTCTCACATGGATCCCAACTGGCCAGTTCCCAGGAGAGAAGGCACTCGTCCTACAAAACTGTCACCACCGCAGGCACTCGGGGACACCCCTTCTTGACAGTATCAGCAAGGAGGGCCTGCTAGAGCAGCAAAGAAGGGAGGGCTTGCATACACAATGTGAGATGCAACAGTATAGGACAAAGTTTGGGAAGTACCTTGATAACCTACCTTTCTAGCAGCTGCTTCTTCACATATTAAGGCTATTTGTGCTGGAAACATCCTCTCTCCTCCCACTCCCCTATGTTGCAAGGAAGTGCTGCTGCTCATTGAATCTTGTTACGTTTTGAGGGACCCTGCATAGGAGTCCTGCCACCCCGTCTGGCCTAGGTGTGGAACTGACCCTGGTGTGCACCATGGGGTCTGAGTCCCAGCTCACTGGCTTCACGCTCTCAGCTCCCCAGCCTGTCTGAGCCCCCTCTGACCTAGCAGGGAGGAGGGCAGGGCCAGGACTTCTGCAGGACTTTTCAGCTCAGCATGCTGCCTGGGGTAGGGATGTCAGTTTTCTAAGCATCCTGTGGGTGCCACTCGTGTTCCAAGCGCTCTTGCAGAGAGGTCTGTGCCAGCACCAAGCCTCTGCAGTGGGAGAGCTGATCTGCTGATCTGTTCAAGCTCCCTGCATTTCTCTGACATGCCCCTTGGAGAGATGTCTGCCCGACAACTTTGGGATCAGATGTCCCCTTGCTGACTTGATAACATCAGGCTTTGGGGTTTTTTTCTTAATGGAAGTAAAATAATTCCAGCTTTTTTTAAAAGCTGGACCCAGGCCGAGTCTGTCGGAAGTAAAAATAGCAGAGTATGCAGAGGTGACAGCACACAGAGTCAGGTTTAGTTTCTCTTTTATTTTCTGGGGACTAAAAATACTCTTAAAAGCTCTGTGAAGCTAAGCCCTGGCCAGTGGGAAATGCAGTCTAGGCCCAATATCAGCTGTCGTGTCAAATTACTAGCCTCACCTCACTTTCCATCGAGTCCTATCACATGCCCATGAATTGATAGGAACAGAAAGATCTATCTTGCCAAAAGAGCTAACGGAGGAGCCAAGCTACAGGGTTTGCACGGTACAATATGTGTCTAGACCAAGAAGGACACAACCAAAGGGAACACAGGGCAAGCGCTGGCCAGGGAGCAATGCCTACTGGGCTGCTTTTGCTGGGCTTCCCTGATACACTAGCCGGATCCTGTGCCCACTGCCTTGAGCTGCAGTTTCTGCATTGATGCAGCCTGCTTGCTCTCCCAGGGTCTGAGCTGGGGTTGTTCTCTGCAGCTAACAGAGACGCCCCTGTCCCCAGGAGCTGCAGTCTAAAGTACATGGATTGGCACTGCCCAAGGAAGCTGGAAGGTGTAGGCTAAGAGCAGAGAAGAAAGGAATGGAGAAGGGTTGTGCCCAAGGTACCTCCTA